ATCTTTTTATCTTTATCTTTTTAAGATAAAATAAATAAAAATATAAAATATCTCTAAATTTTTAATTTATATCTAAAATTAAAAGTAAAAAATGTATGTTATTATAGGATTGAGGAAGTAACAAATTAAAATCAATTCACAAACTATAATTTTAGATATCATAATTAATAGTTTTAAAAAATATCAATTAATAAAATATCAATTAAATTAAATATTTATACAACTTTAACAAAATAGTGTGCACTTATACCTACATCATATCAAATGGGTTCTTATAAAATGTGTCCATTGAAAAGTAAAACATTCAAAAGATGGATAGGCTGCAGAAACTTCAATATTAAATTTAATTTAAGTTTAATAACTAGGAACCCTTGCATACGCATTGCATGATGCATATTCCGAACCCAATTCATGACTCATATTCCAAATGTAATCCATGATGCATGTATTACTTAAGCGAAGACGCCAGGGTGCCCCAGGGAATGGAGGAAATTCAGGGTGAGTCCAGAAATGTAAACTTGTATCAAACTAGGATGCGAAGCCAAGTACCGAATCATCATTCATCAATCACCATTTTGTCTTAAACAACCAAACTCTACCAATAAGAATTTGGCTGCGTTAATATTTATTACCTTAAAGACATTAATTTAAAATCAAAATCAGAAGTTCAAATCTCTTAATTCCTAACAACTAATTGTCTCAGATATACCAAAATAATAATAACAAACAAGCAAAACTATATATCTGGTGAATTACTTACATGGCTAAATTTGTAAACCTTTTGGGCCAATCTAGGAAGTATGGAGTATGGACTATGGTCCAACAAAAAGATTACATCTCAAACAACACTTGGTTGCAGTTCAGCCAATCCCTAGCTCACTAAGACAACCTAAAAGCTGTTACTAAACTCGGAACTCTAAATTTAGTTTAAGATGGATGGGCAGATATGAATTGAAAGACATTTATACAAAGGAAAATGGAGTTATAAATGATAATCCTTTCTGAGTTAGCATAACTGTGAACCCTTATTCCCAACCGAATGCATGAAGGTCAAAGCATGACAATAAAAATTTGTAAATTTAAACAATCAATTATTTTTTACAAACAATTTGCAGATCTAGCAAAATGTAACAAGGTAGTTAAAAGAAATAATGCGAGAATGTAAGCAGCAATGTGTGCTTTCTCTCCCTATTGTACTTCCATGTTGACCACAATGGATGAGAGAAGATATGGCTTGATATGATGGTAGGAAAGGTTACTTGCTTTTATCACATCAGAGATACTTCCTGGCTTCCTAAATGAACACTCATATTCTGGCTTTTCCTAAATGAATACTTGTATTGTAGCTTCCTAAATGAACAGGCAGAGATACTCACAGAAAGAATAATATGATGAGGAGAAACATGAGAGCAACCACTTTGATAACTATGATGAACCGATCTGCAAAAGAAATTGGGTGGTTCCACTTGTATTTTTTCCAAAGCACCATGGCTTCGAGCCAGTAGAAGACCTAGGAGAACCAGCTAGTTCTGGGTTCCTGTGGACTGTTGACATTTTGACCCCGCAAAGGGATAAAATAAAAATAAAAAGAAGGAATGTGACTATAGTGAAAATGAAGTTAATAAGTGAGTTTCAAATTAAGAAACTAAAATTTTTGCTTCTACGGCTGCCATGCAATGAGATATATATGTGAAATGTTACCCACAATCTCCACATGGTCAAACACAACTCTCAACTAAGAATAGAGGCGGATAGCTTGAAGGATGCTTCCTGAAAACACAACTTAACAGAGTAAGAACTATGGGGAAAATTTTGACATCAAGTACTTGAGAAAATAGTAGTTAGATATAAACCTCAACCACCTTACACATTTGGTAATGAGGAAAGGCTTTATTCTTACCACATTCTTCCATTCTTTCACTAATGGTGACTGAACATAGGGCTAATGATCCTTTGACATCGAAGTGCATTTTCCAGAAACATAGATCCCATTCTATGGTTTATTCTCACCACATTCTTCATTCTTTCACTAACAGTGAATGAACATAGGGGCTAATGATCCTTTGGCGTTGAAGTGCATTTTCCAGAACCGTAGATCCCATTTCCCAGCAATCTTCATGTAGTTCAATTTACCAGTAATCTTTACATGAACAAGAACCACCTTCAAAATGATGAAAGCGATATGCATCTCGCACTATAATAGCTCGATTTGATATCTGGGACACATATTTTATCCAATTATGGCAATCATTACAAACACGAAGATTCTTAATTACACGAACAGGAATTGCATCAGGTAAACTCAGGAGGCCAAAAGCAATGGCCAGTTTCTCACTGTGAATGAATGCAGATGGGTCACTTTGTCCTTGTTCCACACTGTTCAAAAGGCTATAAAAGTCTTGCTCATAACCAATTTCAGCTGCTCGTTCATTCAGGTCTCCTAAGTACTGATATATCTTATCAGCCAGTGGATGGTGTCTGTCACCAACAAAAAATGCATGAATTGAGTTCTTAACCTCAAGCCAGCTACGACCAGGCTCTTTTTTCACACCTCTTTCTTTCATCATTTGCCTTGTCTGGTTCCTGGAATCCCATTTTCCAGACACAGCATATAAGTTTGACAGAAGGACATAACTTGCTGAGTCTTCAGGTTCCAATTCTAAAAGATGGTGGGCAGCGTATTCTCCAATGTCCATATTCTTATGAACTGCACAAGCACTTAGAAGTGTCCTCCAGACCAAGGCATCTGGTTGAATTGGCATATCGTCTACAAATTTTTTTGCACGGCTTAGAAAACCAGCACGGCCAAGAAGATCCACCATGCAAACATAATGTTCAGGTTTTGGCAGTAAGCCATGCTCCTTGCTCACCGATTCAAAGTAACCAAGAGCCTCATTCACTAGATCTGCATGGCTACATGCTGATAAAACTCCCACATAGGTGACATGGTTTGGTGTCACACCTACCTGTTTCATCTTCTCAAAAAGATTTATTGCTTCCATGGCACACCCATGCTGAGAATAGCCTGTAATCATGGCATTCCAAGAAACTTCGTTTTTCTCAGGCATTTCTCTGAACTCTTTTTCTGCATCACTGATGCTACCGCACTTTGCATACAATGTGATTAAAACA